GAAGATGGGCAGCCCAGGGACCAATAAATGCATTTCCACCGACCAAGCCCAAGGGAAGGGATTAGAAGAACTTACCAATTAGAGCCCAGCATCCAGGTTAACAGCCAAAATGGAAGCAGGGACAAGCAGCCACAAGGACAGGGCCAGTCTGCAAGGGGGGAGGCTGGCCATTGGTTGCTCTCTCTCCCCTGGAGGCAGGGTCTGTCTGGAATGGGATTGCATTTCCTAACCTTTGCTAGGGGGATCTTTTTACACATGAGGGTGCCAAGCCTAAAAGGAGCACAGATCACACCCAGATTTTATGCTGCCTCTGTGTGGAAACATTCTTGGGCTCACCCTGCCACAGAAACAACTCTAAAATTCTTCACTTTGTTCTCAAAAGTGAGACCTTTCCTCTGCTTTACTACGGTGAATGGTCTGAGAACAATTATAGCGTTCCTTCATCCCATTACTCACTTTAGGAATTGAGCCTCAGCTTTTACTTTTTCTAGACCAATGCTATTAAGGAAGTTTTGCTCTAGAGGCACTGTTGTACTTCACGCTCCCTTTTTGCCTTGTCTTTAAGTCATTCCTGAGGTCACAACCATACTGGAAGATCTTGTAAGCAGTTTGATGCCTACAAGCCTGGGCCTGGCACTGCTGTACTACATTTAGGTGGGCAGTCACCAAAGAGATAATAGTACCGCAAATCCAGTCACCCCTTCTGCACTGATCTCAAATGCATGGCACGAACCTGAGGAGAGGATGCAGAAAGAGACAGGCGGGTCAGAACCGAGCTCAATTTTCTACCAAAACTGATCTAAATTTCCTTAATGCAAGAACACTGGAACAGAGAACTGCAAGCAGATGAGAACATCTCCTTTCTCCCCCACCAGTGTATATTACCAATGCCTTAGGGCGTGGACCATGGCTCCAGCCACATATATTACAGTAACTAGTAAAGCCCTGACCCAAACTTCACACTGCTGTAGTAAGAGATGTCACTGAACCCTAAACAGCATTGAAATCCTAAAGAAAGAAATGCTAAGAGAAGAAAACAATTTTTTTTTTTTTTAAATGTCATTAAGACTGCATTGCGGCTCCTACAAAGGGGAACAGACTGATGGAGCAGCAACAGCATTCCCTAACTTCTAATAACATCACTTGTTTCCTCTTGAACAAATGATAATGCAGCAGAGATGCTTCAAACATTACAAAGCTTAAGAGTGAAGTAAAGACTGCTGTAATTTCAGATGCAAAATATACAGTTGCATCTTCAAGACACGATCATTAATGAAATAACTTGGGCACATCTGTCAAAAATGCAGGAGGCATCACCTTGACTATGAAAACAGGGAGCTGACACAGAAAGGCAAAATGCCTTGTCCAAGATCACACAGCCGACTCATGGAACTGACCCAGCCGACTCTGGTCTTGCACTCAAGTCCACAGGTCAAGCATGACATTCAGGGCTATGAAGTATCGCATCAATAAACGTTTGCCCTCTGAGTCCTCCAAAAATGAAGCACTGAGAAAGGAATATGGGTTGGCTTTGCAAGTCAGCACTACTTGAAGACCTCTGAAAAACCATGGGAGCCACTCGCATATTAGAATGCATTTTTCTCTGCCCTCTTTGGAGATAAACTGGCTAGATTAGGTCACACCAAATGTTCATCTCACCGGTATCTCTAGTCTAATTGTGAATGCCTAACAAATAGTATAAGCATGACCCAATTACGTAAGAATGCTTCCCAGAATACTCCTGCAGCCTTCCACAGCACAGGATTTTATAACATTTTAGCAACTCTAGCTTTACCTGAAACAAGACAAGGAAAAAAAATAACTATTTCCCGGACCGTAACCGCCTAGGAAAGAAAACAGCTTTAGTTCCAAGGTCACATACAAGATGCTCTTCAATCTTAGTAAATGGCATGAAAACACTAAAAGTTTGACAATGACACAGCTTTCGTATGTTTAATATAAAATCCTGGAAATCCAAAAAATCCTATATAGTGTTGTTCCATACAGTCAAAGTAACAGCAGTGCTCCTTGCCAAGTAAAATAGTAATCTGCTAACCTATTGATTTCCAGTTTTAACCTATTGATTTCCAGAAGTCTTCTCTGCATATTTCTCTGCATGAGATATGTTACCCAGGTTCAGTTTCTCCTTATGCCTAGACAGGCATTTAAAATATTTAAAACAAAAAAATATCCTCTCAGATGCAACTGACTGCATCAGAGCTTAGTAATAAAGTAAATTTTTTTGTAGCCAACATCAGATTTTTTGAAGTCTTTCCCAGCAAATGTTTTCCACCATCTCTCAGCTGCTCTCAGTACACCCTGAAATCTGCCTACACTCCCATTTCTCACTTCTCATATAGGATGACTGACTGGACTATAAAAAGGAAGGAAAGCAGTGCACCCTAGGGATGCCTGATACCATGTTTCCTTTTAAAGGACTTCTGTTCCTTCAGCTTTTTTAGGCTGAGTGGGGAAGATTTTCTGCATGAACATAGGAGGTGGGTTCAGTGGCTGAAGCAGTATTGAAACACTGGAGACACACATTCAACTGTTCAGAAAGCAAAAATTTAATACAAATCAGATGCAAGAGAATCTTTGGGCTCTCACAATTCATTTTACTTCCACCCAAGGTTTGGCATGCAGCTGATTTATCCTCCAAGTCACCAGTGGTTGTAACTGGGCTACTTATAAAGTAAAGTTTTTTTAAGAACTGATTGTGCATCCTTCCTAGCAGGCCGGAACCTGGCTTCAGCAACAGAAATTTTTCCCTGTCTGGAAACAACTGTCCTTACATTCCTGGGCTAGATTAAATCAGCATTTGTAGTTCTCTTCTAAGTCTGTACCTGTCAATTAAAGAAATGAATGAGCAAGAACGATTCTCACTTATTTTCCTCCAAGATCCTGAACTCATACTCTCTAGATGGCAGTGATTACACACGCTGCCCAGTGCTTTCTGAATACCAGAAGCTGCATTCACACAGACTCATATGGAGTGGAAGCATTCAACTATCCAGTATGCTTACACTGCTGAATCTTCACAGAAGCTGGATCTTCATTACAAACCATTCCCTTCTGTATGCACTGCTACCTCATCTGCTATAAAAGGTCTGCTCTATTGAAAAAGCAATAGGAGAATGGGAAAATCTCCCAGTATAAAAGACAGATTCTTAGGTTAATGTCAATTCTACAGGAATTAAAACAGATCCTTCCAGACTCTGTGCTGATCTTTTGCAAAGGTGCCTTTCCACAGTGTGAGGACAGATGAGTACTATGTAGACTGAGTCTTGGGGTCATATGTGTAGAAGGCAGATCTGTTTTAAACTTCTAGGTAAGGCACTCTGAAAGAGGATCCTTTCTTTAGGAAATACAGAGATTCTTGCATAACATTTTCTACTGCACAGCATCTTTCCACCGTTCTTCAGTTTATAGGAAATTTGGCACAGTTTTTAGCCACAGTTTTAGTCTAAAAGACTTTCCTGAAAGAAATTAAAGCGAAACTCTTCTTGGGAAGTTGTGAATTTGAATGAGCCTGCATTACATGTCCTGGGTGACTCTGAAGGGGATCCTGCTGACCCTTGGCTTTTCCCGCAAGCTCCTGAGCACTTCCGGATGAACTGGCAGTTCTTATTGCGGATGTTTCCCTTCACTTCCATGACCCTGGCAGATTTCGCAGCTTAAAGAGGGGAGAAAAGAGCAGTAAGAGATGTTTAGTCATCTCATATAGTGAGGTCCCACTCTGCAAAGCAGTAACAGAGGGCAGGAGCAAAGCCCTTTCCTCTTCACTTTTCCGAGCATGCGAAGTTCTCCCACCCATTTCCATGAGCTTCAGCTCTTTGCATCGCTCCTCCTCCATCTTCTTTCTATAGTCTCCAAACATGGATCTCATGAGCTGACGCTTCTTCACCAGCGGCGCCTTGTCATTGCGCAGTGTCTTGATCGCACGGAGAGCCTCCTCAACTGAAGCAGCGCAAAGAAGAAACAATGCACAGTTTGACTCCCCACTGGCTCTGCTCCTGCACACCTGCCAACCCCTCCCACAGGGGAGATCTCTCATTTACTTGAATACTTACCCTGTTTTGGAGTGGATTTCTGTGTCTTCAGGCCAAGTTCCAGCTGTTCCATACACCAGTCCACCTCTTTCCATAACTGGTCATCTGACTGCTATGCAACATGGAGCACAGTGAGCATGAGAAAATAAGTAATCCAAAAATTAGAGCAGCAGTTGCTACACAGGGAAAAAAAGGTATCTGCATAAAGTGAGGACTATTCCAAATTTCATGTTCTGGTGATGACTTCATAGACTTCATGTCATTTTCCCTATGGTGCTTTTCATTGTATAAACTTAAAGCACTGGAAAAATGTTTAGTTGCAACTCACTGCCTCTATTTGATAGATTTGGCTGCCATTCAGATGATGCAGTTTTCTGGAAAGCTGTCCAGGGCCTTTCCTCTGAAAGAAGGTATCAAATCAACTTACAGATGGGAGGAATAAGCACCAACAACACGCCCCCTC